AGTGGATGATTTGGGTTTTCCGGTTGGAGTAGCACCTGGCCACACTATCCAATGGAAGAGACCGTCAAGAATGGTTCAGGCCACAGGCTAGTCGTCTGTGCTCCCCTCAGCTGCCCTGTGTCCATCTTCTCCCAATGTGGTTCCAGGACTAACTGCCATTACCTGGGAGCTTGTGAGCAATGCAATTTCTCAGGCCCTGACCCAGACCAAGTGAGTCAGCACGTCTGGGTGCGCGGTCCAGCAACGTGGGTTGAACAATCCTGATGCTCGCTGACACTGGAGAGCCACTGCCTGCATGGGGTGGTCTCAGGACGAGAAAGTGGCCAGGAGATAGCCCAATGCAATTTGCCGCCGGTATCCTGCCAGCACGGATCTCCCGTTCCTTCCACCCCTGACCCCAAGGGCTGATGTGGATTCCCAACAGAGACCGAGTGTTTTAGCCTTGCTCTGTGCAGTGTGTTGTCAATGACAGAGATCTCACACGGGGCCCCTGCATTCCAGGAATGGGGAGTGGGGTCTGCTGAGCTTGCTCCCTGGTTTCGGACTCTGGCTCCTCTCTTCTCTAGCTGCTGCTCTCTCCCTCCTCTCGGGTTCCTCCACTTGCTTATCTTGCCAGGTCGTTGCAGTGACTAACTGTAAAGTGCTTGACATATAGTGACTCATAAATGATGCTATTATGTTACTGTGAAATTTCGTGTCCCTGGGCTATATTTTGGTGCAAATATCAAGGTGGGCATTGCTTCATTAGCGTGAGCATGTGTCATATTAGGTGGCAGCAAAGGTGAGTTCACAGGCTGCCTTCCTACTTACCATGTCAACAGAATGAATGAAGTAACGTTTATAGAACACTGGGCAGTTTTCAGATATCCTGTAAATTCAGAATATGTTTATGATGGACAGCCTCGCATTTACTGTTTAAAGCAATACACTTTGCCTGGGCTGGCGTGGCTCGGGTTGAGCGCTGACCTATGAACCAGGTGGTCACAGTTTGATTCTGGGTCAGGGCACATGCCCGGGTTTCCGGCTAGATTCCCAGTAGGAGGCATGCAGGAGGCAGCCCATCGTCATTGATGTTTCTCTCTCTCCTTCTTCCTCCCTCTTTCTGACATCAGTAAAAACATTAAAAAATAAAGCAACACACTTCTAGGCCACCACCTACGAAACGGTGCTGGTGAGGGTTTGATAGTTTTGACTCCTGCTGCTTCTCATCTGAATCCTTTGTGAGTTTTGTCAGTGCTGTGGCGCACATCAGCACGTTACACGTGGGAAACAGCCTAGGTTCCCGCCCCCCGATGTCACTAACACAGAGGACAGTGTGACCCTCGTGAAGGCAACGCTATTATGTTTCCTCTGGCAGAATCAGCCGGACTCTTCAGGTCAAGCACTTTCTTGTAGTTTTGGGTGAATTATAAAACACTCTTTCCATGTCAACACCTTAGTGACCATCTGAGCATTTGCTTAGAACAATTAGTGCTGTTCAGTTGAAGATGTGCATTAAATCCACCTGATTTCCTGGTGGAGACTTTTATCTTCATTTAGGCCTCAGTCAATGCCGTTGGCTTACTCAAGCACAGAGTGGACACTTAGTCTAGAAGACCTCCACAGACCCTTCTGATCCTGAAACCTTTCCTTCCAAATTGAATGCATGGGGACATTGCCATCCCATGAAAACATTCCTACTCCAGTGGTGCAGGAGGATGGTAGCCTTTTGAAACTTCTGGTTTTATACACATTCAAGAAAGAGTTCTAGGTTTAAACGCATTGACATTAGGGTTGTTCAGCTTTCCTCTGAATCTCAGATGGTAGGTGTGGTGGAATAAAAAATACTTGGTCTCGGTCCCTGGTCCTGGCGCTGAGCCCCTAAAACCCTTGGCATTTCCTGAGTAATACTTCATTCTTATTCGAAACAAGCCCCTCTGGCCCCCAATCTGAGTTTATGCTAACGAGGTGGCTTGGCCTCGGTTGCCAGAGGAACCAACCACAGTAGAGGGTTAGAACTATCAGCCTCACCCCAAGATCTCCAGGGAAGGAGGAGGGGCAGAGTAGTTCAATGCACAGTGGGCGCTGAGTTAATCAAGTCTGGGTGATGAGACTTCAGTGGAGAAGGTTGGTGAACAGGTCCATGTGCTGCAAGGGGGAAGCCCAGGAGGAAGCTCTGCCCACCTCCCAACTGTCCCCACCCTGTGTACCCCTTCCATTTGGCTGTTCCTGGGTTTTATCCTTTATAATAAAACTATTATACAGGTTTTCCCAAGTTCCTGAGTCATTCTAGTGAATGATTGAATCTGAGGAGTGAGAATCCCTAGTTTGTAGTTGGCCAGGCAAAAGTGTGGCTATGCCCTGGCTGATTTGGCTCAGTGGTTTAGTGTTGCCTGTGGACTAAAGGGTCCTGGGTTCAATTCCCACCAAAGGCATGGTACCTCTGCTGCAGGTTCAATCCCCTGCCCTGGTCTGGGCGCGTGCAGGAGGCAACCTGTTGATGTGTCTCTCTCCCATCAATTTTTCTCTCTCCCTCCCTTCCATGCTCTCTAAAGATCAATGGAAAATGATTTTTAAAAAAAGGTGCCGCTATCCTCAGTGTCCGGGGGCAGTCTTGTGACCTCAACTTGGGAAGTCTATGGTAACTCAGCGTCTGACGTGAATTGATGGACAGCCAGTAGGTGTCGGAGCATCAGAGAACTGCTGCTGGAAGTGGTGGGTGGGAGACGGAAGAGGCTCCAACCGGTCTCTAGCGCACTCAGGATTCCTGGGGTGGCGAGTGTCTGGCACTCCTGCCCAGCTGGCACATCGGAGACCCAGTCAAAAACCTCAGCAGGAATAAAGCGGGAGGAAGGAGATACCCAGTTCAGTACTTTTAGTGGCTGTGCTTCATGTAAAATGCTCTGCAAACTGCAAGTCAACATTAGGTTTATCACAATGGGTAGCTTTCCTCTCCTGCAATCAAATCTGCTGGCATTTGGAGAACACGGACATACCCTTGATACCTTTCGGGAAAAGTAAAATGAAATACCCCTGCCCCCCAGACCCGCCTTCAAAGGCCTTGTCAAATGTGAAAACCTGAACAGTGACTTTAACACTTTGTGGGCTCTGATCCCCACCCCCACCTCGTAGTCAGGGCTCTTGAAAGATTGTTTACAAATAAACCTTCGTTTCATACCTTGGCTTTAGGGCACAGTGGGAGCTATTTTCAGCATTCAAAATGCACTAGGAATTCGTGTACTTGAGATCATTATGTGTCAGGGATTGTTTTTTAAAACTACAACTAACTCAAACACGGACATTCTAAGACAAATTAAAAATTCAATGTGATATAATTTCTTTCATCAGTATTTTCTGACTTCAAAGAAGAAAAAGGTATATATATACCTTTTTAGTCAGTACCCAACTGCCAAAGAGAAAAGACTTGGAAATGTCTAACATTTTTGATCTTAAAACAAACACAATGTCCTATTCCTGTTACCTCTAATCTGCGACTTCTCTAGCTGTGGAAAGCCACTGTCTTCTGCGTACCTCCTGGATGGGATACATTTAACATCAGCATGACCAAAGCAGGGTAAGCTGAACAGATCTTTACTTCAACACACTAGTAAGTGAAAAAGTCATTTTCAAAATAAGATTTTGTGCCCACTGTTCACTAACTGCAAATATCAACCTCTCCTTCCTTCCTTCCTTCCTTCCTTCCTTCCTTCCTTCCTTCCTTCCTTCCTTCCTTCCTTCCTTCCTTCCTT